ACTGTCTAAATAGAGATAAGTCTGCTTATTTGCTGGAGTGCTGTTCAATAGTTCCGCCGCTGTCGGTGTAGTCCCTAAGTGCCCCTGTAATGCCGATCATTGATAGCCTATATAAACTTCTTATACTCTTAATAAACTGCTTCTTCTCCAATGCTGTATACCAAACCAATACCCCATGGAACAGTAACGGCCTGACTATCGCCTGGCAGTAATTTTAACTGATTTTCTTTCATACCACTGAAGGCTCTTTTGCCCTCCAATGCAATGCAATGCCCTTCTTCCCCCTTCAAAAGTTTATAGAACAGAGACTGAGAATGGAACAATGAAAGTGACACATGTCATTGGGGAACTTTTGTTTTCCCAGGGCAAGGAAAATATGTCCCTTTCGACAAAAGATTGCCTATAGGACGGAATTATTCCTTCTCTATTCTGCGCAAAAGCAAATGATGATTTACTTTGACTCATTACTGTCAAGGAATATCTGATATGGATCTAAGAAATTTGTAAAATTATAAGAATTCTCTCTCAAACTTAAGAAAAGAGTGCAGCTCATAATCTGTGAAAAATATAGGTGATACCTGGGCAACCCTAATGGCTGTTGTCATGAGTTCATTCAATGTTTGCTCGACGTTTCTAGTTGCATGCGGAAATACATACATATTCCCCGTCTATAAAAGTGTAGACTTTCCGAAGCACTGTAATGCGAATTTTATTGAATTTCTATGCAAGGTAATATGGCCGCAGTGTGACAAATTATTTCCCTTCATCACTTTTTTTTTACAATGACAATAGCGTTTCAGATCGGTTGACAAAGAGGCATAGAAAGGGTAAAGAAGGTAGATCAAAAAGGAAGAGAAAAAGGTACATTTACTTATCATAAAACAAGCGTACAGCGACGGTAGTATACGTACATAGTACGTTTCCGTTTTTTTCAATTGTTCCATTAGGACAGCCAGTGAATGCCGCTTCGCTAAAATTCTCCCGGCGGACAGAAACGAAATTTGTATAGTTTAATTTGCTCAACAGCGCTACTTCGGAGACTTCAGAAATATATGGCATTCATTTCTAAAAATACTCCAGTTGTAGAATTTGCATGGATTTTATTTCGAATGGAGCACAAATTTAATTTTGTCGCGCCTTTTTTTGCTTTGTTTTTATTTTTGACGTCACTCTAAATGAATTTCCGAAACCGGTCACGTTTTCGCATTAAAATTGAAATTGAATTTTTTACAATTTTAACTTAACGAAAAATTGTAGAAAAAAATGGCCCTTAATGCGACAATTCGCTTCATTCGTGGTATTCCACTTTCGTTGAGCTTCTTTGAAATTGTTTTTTTTTTTGTATGGTTCAGTTGTTTTGTTTTGCTGGTATTACGTAAGCTGTTGCAATTAAAGTGTAATCAACCGTCTGACTAACGATAAGCGCAGTTTTGCACATCCACAAGCAATTCTCGAGTACAAATATGTAAGTAAATATGTACATACGTATCAGAGCTTTTATTTTAAGTTTGTATGAATTGTAGGTATGGACTTATGCGTGTGAAATCACTTGGCTGGCATTTATGTATTTAGATTGCCGATTGCCGATAGCGATTATAGCAACAACGAAAAATTGGCGCAATTTAACTCATTCACATGGGAAATTGAAATTCTGCTGTTACGTCCACCTATAATCAAATGTTATAAACCCTACAGGAAAGTCTATGCTAAAGGAAAAATATAATCCAGGTTTTTGTACTTTTTATAAGTAAAAAAAAGTTTTTTTTTTTAAGTAATACGTTGCATTGAAATTTCATAGTAATCATCCTGATTATCATTTTTACTTTTTAAGGTATTTTCTATTGAGATGTGGAGCATTTTGGATTTGGTAGGGCAATATTTATGCAAATACGATCTTATAGCTAAGACCATAAAGATAAAAAATATCGACAACTATAAAAACTCGAGAAGGGAAAAAAATATCAACGATAAAGAATATATGTCGATAACAGAAGAAATATCGATAACTATAAAATATGAGCACCGAAAAAAAATTTCGACAATGAAAATAGATCCGACAACAAAAAACTTTATCGACAACAATAAAATAATGTCGACAAGAATATATCGACAACAGTAAAATATCGACTACCAAAAAAAATTTGGAGTACTAACAAATGCAAATATCGACAATGAGAAAGATTATAGATAGCGATTTAAAATATTGACAACGGAAAGTATCGACAACGAAAAAAAAAACAAATAAAATAAAAAAATAAATAATAGATATTGAATCGAAAAATATGTCCACAACGAAAAAAATATCGACAACGAAAAAAATATCGACAACGAAAAAAATATCGACAACGAAAAAATATCGACAACGAAAAAAATATCGACAACGAAAAAAATATCGACAACGAAAAAAGTATCGACAAGGAAAAAAATATCGGCAACGAAAAAAATATCGGCACCGAAAAAAAATATCGACAAGGAAAAAAATATCGACAAGGAAAAAAATATCGACAAGGAAAAAAATATCGACAAGGAAAAAAATATCGACAGCGAAAAACATTATCGAGGACAAGTAAATAATACCGAGAAGGAAAATATATCAACACGAAAAATATCGACTACGAAAAAAATGTCGACAAGGAAAAAAATATCCACTATGACAAAGAATATCGAAAAAAAACTTCGACAATTAAAATAATATCGGCGAGGAAAAAATATCGACAACGAAATATGTAGTGCTTCCGGAGTTTATTGCGGACGCTCCCTGGCTTATAACCATGCAGAGATGGCAACAGATGGATAGCATTGGCCACAGTGCCTACCCATTACTTTTTTACCAAATAAATTTTTCTTTTGTATAGATGCAAACATACTGGTCTCCCCTCTCACTGAGTTATTCACAATCCCTATTCGTCCTTGCGAAACAAAAAAAAATATATATATTTTTTTATCCTCGAATTTCGTCTGTTTATCTTTATTGTGTCAAAGAAAAGCAATTAAAAAGCCATTTCCGTGCCCATTCGTCCTTATGCAGAAAAAATTTGGTGTTTTCCAATTCTACAGAACTTTTTCTTTGATTTGTTAGCCATATTTTGAGCTAATCATTCTTTTGAAGTTTCAAAGTCCTTCTTTTATTTGACAAAGATCTTTGATTTGATGTCCATATTGTTATTCTGCGCTGCACTGAATTTTTATATTTTTTTGAATTAGAAACGCAGTTTTACTACATTAGGCCCCTAGTATCGTGAGTAAATTATTTTTTCTGTGTTTTGAGTTTTTTTGGGTTTTTTGACGCACGGTGTAACACGAAACCCATCTCTTTTATGGAATTGCCGGAAAAACATTATGTTCAGCATATCGCGGAAATTTAAAAAAAAAATATTAATGCAGATCTCTTACAAATATTTCAATTTTACAATCTTTCTCGATAGAAAATTTATGTATATATTTTTCATGAAAAAAACGCGAATTCAGCTCACCAATAACTTTCAATTGAGCCAAAATATGTTGGTGGGAGTTATAAAATTTACGCATGAAGAAGGAGAACCCATTTTCATTGTATGTACACTTTAGTGAACAAATACAATTTTTTCTTTTACAGACTATCTTTTATTGCTTCATTCTGTCTCTAAATCTTTGCCACCGATTCACAACCTCGCAAAGTAGCGAAGTATCTGTCGCTGCACTTTTTGTGCCGTTGAGAATAGAAAAAGAGAAATTGCGCGGTGCATACAAAGCGTTGTTGGATAAATTAAGCTGAGCCAGTGACACAAAGGATGTATTTACTCCAGCAAAAGTTGGATTTCCTGCACAAATGTGACAAAAAAAAAACAACACTGTTTATTCGATCGCATCATTGCCAAGTTCTGTATTGTCATTGTCATCGGCACATTACTCACAGCAGCCCTTCTGATAAAAGAACTTCAACAAAAGACTTTAAGAAATGAATGATAAACGCTATTGAATGGCTGGAAATTGTAATTAATGGCTACATATCTGCTCCATACGCCAAAGGGCATTAGTCGACAATTTTTTCTAAGTTAATTACAATCTACATGGCCTTGGTTATGTCTACAAAAATGTGGCTTGGCTGACGCCTTTTAAAAAATAAATAAATAAAAAAAAATTGAAAATATAACTCACCATTAGCATTGGCAGCCGCCTCCTTGCCAGCCGCAGCTGGATTACAATGCAAAATATCCGATAGTGACAACGACGAAGCAATCAACTGACGTTTCTCCTCGAAATTTAAATAGTCCATCGAGTTGCTGCGCTGCGGTGTAACGGTAATGGTCACAGATTTTTGCATTTTAGCAACTACACATAACTGCTGCTGCGGATCCAATTCCTCCACATCCTCCTCACCGCCGACGCCGCCATCAACCATCAACTGTGAATTTGGCATATTTGCGAGATCCTGTGCCTGATAGTGATTTAAAAATTGGAATGGTGAAGCATTCGTTTTATGACCCTCTAGTATGGGAGCGCTGAGGCTACCGCCGCCCGCAACACCAACACCTACACCGCCCCCGCCACCGCCACCGCCAATTCCGCTATTGCCAGCCGCTATGGCAGCTGAGTATGAGGGTGGCGATGTGACATTTATGGCTTGCGAATTGCTCGCTGCCGCTGATAACTGATAGCTGTTCTCATTGTTGATGGCCGCAACTAGGGTGGCCAAGTTGTTGCGACTGTTGGTAGCGGTGGCAGCAGCATTGATAATTTGTTGTTGTTGCTGCTGCTGCTGATGCTGGTGCTGAAGTTGTTGGTGCTGCTGCTGCTGCTGCTGCGAAACGCTCGGTGGCGATTGTGATAATTGCTGTTGCTGTTGTTGGAATTTGTGTTGTTGCTGCAGCTGTTGTAACAGCTGTTGCTGATGCTGATGATGCGGCAAATGGTATTGCAGCTGTGGCGATTGTGGCGCCGGCTGATAGGCTGACTGCGAGGAGTTCAGCTTATTGCTACGCATTGACATGGCGAATATTATTTTATAAAATTTATTATTGTTTTTTTTTTTTGTTACTTAATTGCTGCTGCGTGGCGATTGAAGGGCATCACAATTCTCATAAGTAGACAACCTTTGCGCTCACTTTACTTTTCTATTTTCCACCGATTTTATTCAATTATTTAAGTGACTATTTTGCTATTCTCTTTCAATTGCTCATCGATCACTGTCCTGACACGCGATGGGATTTGGACACGCACTCACACAACAGCAGCCACGAAGCACACTGCAAACCATGTGCAAACCATTGAGGGTGTTGTAGGTAGCATGTAGAGCGTATCAATTTTTATCGGCTCCTTCATCGCCTTGGGTGTGCTGTGACACTTGCTTAATTGATAATAAACACATGTAAACCCTTTTATGACCACATCACATGATTTTTTTTTCGACGTTACACTTATTTTATTTACTCTTGTTTTACAGTTATTTATGTACAAGCATATGCTCTATTGATGTGACACTTACTGTGGGAGAGAAATATGGTTATTTTGAATCGTACGAGCATGAAATTCTTATAATTTGGTGCTAATTCAATTTTAACGGCATCGATGATTTAAACGATAATTAAACGAAATGCAATCATTTTTGCTTTTTTATGAATTATGGTTCTCATTAGTCGTCTTGTATAAAATCGGCGATATCTGTTTATAGTAATTTCGATGTGAATATCGTTAACCCTATAGATTACGGTGACCATATTTATGGGAGCCGAATACGGGACAAAATATAATTTTCCAAATTCTTTTCACAAAAACTTACAGATCTTAAACAGCATCCTTATAGTAACATAAAAAATGTGTAAGATATTTCTCTCGAAATTTTTACCCCGCAAAATTTGTTTAAAAAAATCGTGAAATTTTAGTGTAGTAAAGTGCAAAGTGCAGTCGACGGGACTTACCGTTAATTTTTTGATTGTTTTTTTTTTTTGTTGCCGGTGTTACGCATCTTTTCACACAAAGTATATTCGACAATTTTTTAAAGAGAAGCAAAAGAGCAGCATTTTCCACTTGCACTTTATTATACTCAATTTTAATGAGCTACAAAACTGGGCATGAATCACGTATGACGATATCGTGTTTTCGATTGTCTTGCTTCATGAAAATTACGATGCTATGTCAGCTGACACGACCTATGTATCTTATGGGATTTTACTTTTATTTTGGGTGTTTACTAAGAGTTTTCTCTCTCTCTCTCTATCAACAGCAAAAAATTGTCTTTTTACAAAGTACCGCATCGTCCTTTTAGAAGATGCCTTAAAAGATGCATACATTTTTTAACAGAAATGTTCTTCGAAAGTATCGCAAACATTCAAATATGCTTTAAATTTCGCTAATATTTTAAACGACTGTTATTTTATCTTCAACATTTCTCGCTCCATCCTATAACTAAGCGCCCGTTATTGTAAAGAGAATATCCATCATGTTCTCTTCACATTTCTTAGCCTTCACATCTTCCAGCTGAAGCACTATCAATGCAAACTTTAAAAAATGTATTCACATATATTTTGGAGCCCGCTAGACCCACCTTTGCTTAGCTACCTTATAGCAATAAAGTATAAGAATAGAGATAAAAATGTTTCAAAATCTTTCATTTATTAAAATTTCAAATATCGAAGTTTGGCAAAAAAATTATACGTAGAGTTCACTATTTGATGCAAAAATGCGAAAGACAAAACTAAGCGTTTGTGTTGTTGCTTTGCTGTGCGTTTGTGCGAAAGGGCGCCATTACGGTGTTTGTTGTAAAAAACTGCCGATTTTCCCACTTTCACAACAGACAACATGAATTAGTGTTTCGACGACATCGTTTTGCCAGTATCGTTTGAACGACTATCGTGTCAAAGTTACATGCCCTGTTTATGGAGAAAATTACTTATGGAGAAAATTTCAATCATATACCAATATCCCTTAAAACTGGCTTATAGGCATGCCATTTTAATGAGAGGTTAAAGCTTCGAAATACCAAACACCGAATACGAGACAATTACAGGACATTAAAAGAAGTATAAGATAAGTAAATTACCAGGACAATGGGTCAAAAACCAGGACTGTCCCGTAAAATACAGGACGGTTATCACCGTACCTATAGACTAGTATGTAGCTCTCAAGAAAAAGAAAAACTCCATATAAAATGACGTACAAAAAATGGCTAAGGAATTTTTTGAGTCAAGTTTCCTTAAGGCAAACAATTTTTTTATTTTAATCTATCTTACACTCTCATGGAATTAATTACGCACATTTTGACACCTTAACTGATTTCTCAGATAAATAGCTTATTAACTGCAAACAATTTCGGGAATTTTTGTTTGAGATTTTCGAATATCATGACTAAATAAAAAAATTGGTGTCTTCTTTTTTTCGATAAAGAATGTAAAAATATATATTTCACACCAAAAAGATATTGAGGTGTAAATATTTTATGGAATATTTCTTGTCCAGATAAAATTTAGAATAAATGACTTGGAGACGTTTTTTCTTTCGCTATACATAGGTTTATTGATACGTCAATATCGCGTTTTTCACAGTTAAGTATTGTTTAATCATCTCCTTCATAATTCATACAGTAGAGGGTTAAATATATGTATGTATTGGAGACCAAAAATATGTCGACAACGAAATGGAAATAGCATCGACAGCAATTTCGATCAGCATACTGATAATCACATCATGAATATGTTTGGATAACGATTTTTATCGATATCTATACGTATCGATATATTTATCCATATACTTATCGATGTATTTATCCATATACTTATCGATATATTCATCCATATACTTATCGATATATTTATCCATGTACTTATCACACAAATTATGTTATGATTTAGAGAGCAATTTTTCGTAAAATTCTTTAACCCTGCCATATTAAGGATCTGTCTATTTGACTCTTTTTCGAATATGCTCAGAAAGATTGCAGTTAATTGGTTAGACTGTTCTGCAAAAATATAAAGAAGAGTATTTTAATGGAAATGCTATCATTAAAGATGAGTGTGTTTAATATATACGGCTTAAAAAAAATTTTTGGGATAGTTTCAATAAACATCCAAATCAAATGCTCAAAATGTCAAAGCTCAAGCAGTACATTTACGCATTCAATAGTTTCTCTAGTAAACTTTGGAAATTACTGCCTCTTATAGGCATATTGCCTCATTTCTTCAGACGTGTTTGCCTATTTGCCATTTTAGCTCATTCCCATACAAACTCATTTGACATTTGCTAATTCACACTTTACTCAAGTGCCATCAAACAAAACGTTTTCAATTTCAGTAAAATTAACAGAAATCTAATGGCAAATCCTTGAAACCGCCGCCAGTAGGAGTTTGCTAAAAAGCAACCCTCAAGAATTCTTACACACTCCAACAGGCATAAGGGAAGTATAACACGTATGCCTCATCATTATTTTATAATAATTTTTTTCGGATACACCCGTACATACATATGTATGTATTTACATATGTACATATAAGAACGAATATCATCTCTGAGCGGAATGTGCACACATATCCTCATTTTGTCTACCGTTCCGTTTTATCGCTGCACTTAAAAGAGAAGCGTCGAACCTCAGCCTGCAGCAGCAATGAGAAAGACATTTTATTAAATGAAAAATGCCGCAAAGTTGGAATATTGCACTTGAGAATGACAGCCCACCACTTGGCAGCTGGTGAGAATGTGCCTGAACACAATTCACAAGCAATCAAGTAGAACAATGGAATCGACACTTGGGCAGGATAATAATAAGCGCCGAGAGGTGGCGTTACACTGCAGAAATGCCGCAGAGTTGAATGGAGTCATCTCGTTTAGCGACGGCATGTCGAATGTATAAAAATAGAAGCAGGCTCAGGATAAAATGGAAGCAATAAAAAAAGGGGTTTTCTAAAGTTCCACATGAAAAGCGAATGAAAAACTTATTTTTTTTATCGGGCGGGTGTAGGAATATTAACCGAACACTATACTATTGGCCAGACACAAAATAGTTTCAAATCACAGCATAAGAAGGTATAGTCGATTTGGATCCATAACATAAAACTTGCCCACCTGCAGCCCCTCTAAGCGAAAAAAGCACCCAGTCTCACTCAACTCTAGGTAGGCTGGCAATAAGAGTTCTGGCAGCAAACCTTTTGTACCAGAAAACTGTGGTTGAAACATTCTGTTGTTCTGTAACCATGACTTGATTTTCAGGGAAATGTATTGCTAAGAGAACCTAGAGTCTACTACTTTTCTGACGTGTGTCAAGTTAGCACTACACTTTTCGAAATTGGAAAAGTTAACTACGGCATTAATTGTAGTGTTTTTGTTGTAAATTTGTTGTGGAAAGAAAAAATTTGTAGCTCTCGTTTTTTAAGAAAAAATGGTATGTAGTGCTAACTTGACACCATACACCTAGTCGATAGAATTGAGATAT